GCGACCAATTGTGAACGAACACCTCCACTCGATGATAGAAGGCTCCTAGGGCTTCTGAAAATAAGAAAGAATAAAAAAAATCAAGAAATCCGCTTTTTCCAAAGAGTTTGCCCCAATCAAAAGCTAACACAGAACGACAAATTCTAATAGTGAGCCGTTCCTTGCATACTCATAAACCTTTGGATCAATCGAAGATAACCTTTTGATGAGAAGCAATTAGTTTCGCACCATATCACTGCCTAGTGCAAACAAACATTGTTCCCATCTATGCGACAGTGTCAATAAACCCTGAATAGGAAGCGCGGGACAACAAGATAAGCTTTGTCGTCTGCAAAAACAAAGGTGACGGTGCGGCTTCTAGGAAGGATCTTTGCATGTTGGTCAGCTGAACCGCGAAGGTACCAAAATTATAAACGAAAAGATATATTGCAAACAAAGGCGCCGTTTCTTTGGAAAAAGTTGCTATGAATGTCCACTGGATGTACTAAGCATTCAATTTCCAGCTAAGATTAACAATTAGATTTAGCTGTCCTTATCATCACCTGCTTTTATGTGTTGTTAAAGCAGCAACTGAAATCTGCACTAATTCAAAACCTCAAAAAAGTTTATAAAGGCAATTGCGTCAACAAGTGTTTAGCCCTATTGTCATCTGTCTGGCTATGCAAAGACCGAAGAATGGTTGCATTAGTACAAAATGTCATATGGGTTTTTAACGATATGAAAAAATTAGTAAGATAGAGGATTGAGACTTGATTTGAGACTCACTTTAGTGAAAAACGACAACATGGGAAATTGTGGCTATCAAAAAGCGAGTTTGGTAGGATAGGAAAGAACAAAATTAAGCCATGCATAATTGATTTACAGCATTATCTGATCTCACATTAGTATAGATACTCAGATCAGATCATAATAATTTTGTGTATTCGAATTGAGCATTATAAGGAAAAAATAAGGAAATTGTAAGAAACAAACATTATAAGAATTGTGAGTATACAACTCAAGAAAAACAGAAAATGGAAAATGGTCCCACCTATGGCAATTTGTACGATATCCTTCGCTATTTCGTAGACAACGCCAGCCGTGACCTTGAGTGTATCAACAAAGCTGCCAAATCGAGCGCGACCATCTTTCTCCCACCACTTTTCGATTTCCCTTCGCTACAAATGGATTGATTAGGTTGTAATCAACAACTTCAAAAGAATAACTAGAAAATTATGATATAACTCGTTAATCTCACCTTGGCTTCCAAAAACCGCACCGTTTTCAAGGAGCTATCCACAATGAAACCGTGTACCTTGTGATAATATCTAAAAAAAATTCCAAATCTTGTGAAAAACACTAGGATATGGGTAACAAACAGAAAAAATAAATAGTCAACAATCTAGGAAAATGCTCGAAGTAGAATGCGATTCAGTATGGCAACGACTAACAAGAATTGTGTGAAAAACCAGAGGTACCACAAAACCATCAAAATAATTTACCTGTCAAATGCAATGCCGATGTCTGACTTGACAAATTCCCGATAATATTCGTTCCATTTCTTCTGTAAAGCATGGATAGACGGTTGTACTCGTCCCCAGTATCCATGAACAACGGTGCCATACGTGTTTCGAGCGTTAGTCAGGAACAGAGGAGACGGGCGTTTAAACTCAGACAACTTTGTCAAATCCGCACAAAGAGGCTAAAATTTCGAAATAAATGACAAAGTGTAGAATTACAAACTAAGTTACCTTGCTACCCTTGATTGTTTTCGCACCATCAGCACAATTTAGAAGAATTGCAACGGTAGAGGCAAGAAATGCGAGAACACCAAGGTAGAAAGTGTATTTGAACAGTATTCGAATCACTGAACGATAGTGGAATATTAGCGTACGATTAGCGATTTCCGGAGCAAAAGGGTTCGCCGATAACAAAAAGGAAATAAGAAAAC